ATCTTAAAACTTCCCTTTTAGCCGAAACTATAGTTTGTTTTTATTTATCTTAAAACCAGTGTTATTATTTACAGGAGTGATTTTGTGAACAAATCTCAGTATTTTGTTTGGCATGAATGATGGATTTCTAATTTAGAATACATTATTCTGAAGTATTGTGAAATGTGAGAATCTGGTAAAAGGCCTGTTTTTAAAAGAGGTAATTATTCACGGGTCCCCTCTCCCCTTTGCCTGGAGAAAATGAAATCATTTTCTGTCATTAGATAAAAGAAATGATTGTAAAGTATATTACTTTAAAACTGTTGTATGAATTTATGATTGAGGAATAATTATGCATACATGCCTTGAGTGAGACAATTCCAGACTAACTACAGAATTTTAATAAGTCACAATTGCAATTTTATCTATTAAGATTATACTTGATTATAAAACATAAAAAATCTTACATAACCTGTGGCATTGGCAAGTATATTAAACAGGGGTTATAAAAGAATCTTGCAAAAGAAATTTCCTTGGGAAAATTACATAAAGGAATTCGAAATATTGATCTACTGCAGCCATAGATAGTGATTAACACTCTTTTTACCTGCAATACTAAAATCTATGCTGGCAGCTAGAAAAGAAGAGAATCATGGAATGCAAAGGATTCAGTTTGAAAGTAGAAAGCCAATTTAGAGTGTTCGAGTCAACCCTTCTGTTTTTTCAATATTCCCTCAACTGCCCTTATATAATTATTTCAACTCACTTATTGGTATACCTGCATAGCTATTTCCAGGGCACAGTGCATTCAAAATGTTATATGGGCATTTTATGCCTTAAAAAAATATTACCAGACTATAGAGGGTTTTGAGACCATAAGATAACAATATTATCAAACATTAAAAACTGCTGAATGAACTTGATACTCTATGTCAAGCATTATTCTTAATCAAGCATATTATACTTACGTGTACAATTTAAATACTTTGTATCTCAGCTCATACCTAATCCTCACAGAATTGAAAAGGTTGTGACTACTTGTGTAAACTACTTGTGTAAAGACAACTAATAAATACTTTGAACATCTCGGGCCAAGTTTTATCCAATATGAGCAATATTAATTTAAATTATAAGGCTCTGAGGCACTGAAAAAAACCAGTTTATTAGAAGTTGGCATAAATGCTCCTAAAGAAAACTACCACTTTGAAGCAAAGACAGATGCAGAAAAACACATCTAGTCAGAGATCCATCTTGCTAGTATTCATTTTTACCTTCAATAGTCCTTCAGTATTTATTTGGATCACTGTTTGCAATCATTTATTATATTTGACTTTAAATGTTAGAATGAAAAATAAAAGCAAGTAAAGTCGGCAAAAACGTAGAGCCTCTGGAATCACAGATTTCCTAAAAAATACTGATCCTTTGTCTAAAGCAAGGAAGTATATATTTTACAAGTTCATCATCACTGACTTAACATATGTTCAGAACTTTCCAGCTGACATAACGCATTCTTAAGGAAGCCAATTCTTTTACTAATGAGAGATTCACCAATTTCTAGACACGCTACCACCGTGTGGTACTAGTTAAAATGACGCCAGTACTTACCATCAGGAGAAAAGACTTTCAGTGCCGACATCACTTTTAAGCCCCATATTCCTTCCTAACCTTGTCACAAAGCAGATCTGAATTAAACTAACTTACATACAAATGGTTCATTTGCAATTTTCAACCTTATGGACTTCAAACTGTCTCCCCATACTAATGAGAATTCTTAATGGTGTTCACTTCTGGCTACGCATTGTATATTGTGCCTTCCGTGGCTGACTCACTTCACAATCTACTTATGCAGTTTATCAGTATCTTGTCCACAAAGTACACAGGGCATTCAGATTCGAGTGGCCACTGATTTGAGAATCTTGGGGAAGGTATCAGCATCATGGCCTAAATGGCATGATGGCTAAGGTAAATATAACAGCCAGTGTGTTCTACCTGTCCCCCTCTAGAAGTACAAAGTGGAAAACACCTACAATGACAACAGCAAATTGCAGTAACTCTTTGCAATGTGTTTCCCTGAGTAGTTTTATTTTGTGGTGTTTTGGGCGGGGAACATTATTTTTCATACATTTGGGAAAATCCCGAACAACTCTATCCATTGATTGAACAGTTTCATTGAACAATAAAAAATAATATGACTCACTTCCCCACTTAATAAAAACTTCTCACTTTATGTTTATTAATTTTGAAACTACTTAGGCATCTAAATAGCTTCACTCTGAACAAAGAAATAACCTTATTAGAGTATGTTGTTAATATGAAAATGAACAAAAGAGACCTTTCTGATTGAACATTCTCACTTTCTACCTAAAGACAGGTGTTCTGCATATATGCAAATGTTGCAGACAGATGGCTTCATATGTTTTATGTACTGTATTATTAAGATATTTTCCCCCTCATTATAACATTCCAAAAGTTATCAGCGCTGCCTTTGTGATCTAGGTTTTAGAAGTACTTAACCTTCAGTAAAATAATCTTATCTCAAAGTAAGGAGAAAAACAACTCAAATATTCCATCAAGTTCAAACCAGAACTTCCTGCTTCACTTAATTACCATGATTTCTGAACCTAGACCCCAAGTTTATAAAAGAAAATGAAATAAAAAAATATTCACAAGGCAGAGTTACAAGTTATCATAGCATCTTAGGAGGATTTTATAAGCCCAGGTCATTTTACAAGCTCCAAACCCTTCACTAGAGCAATATTTTAGGAATCTGAAATCATTCCTGTACTTCTCACCACCCAAGAATCTGACAGCCTGTATTAAAAATAGTATGGATATAGCAACTCCCTGGTTAGCATCTCCTTTAAGTTTTCAGGTGCTCAAATTATTGAGTCTTCTTTCTAAGAATTACTAAACGGTTTATGAATACACAAATAAAGCTAATCATGTGTAATTCTCCCACTAAAATCAATTGATTTCTGTTAGTACAATATATTAGGATTAATTAAAATTACCATATCCAGCAGCCAGTTTGTACATTTCCAAATATCCTTCTGCAGTATCCATAACCATGCACTGCTCTGTCTTCGATCATGCTTCTTTTATTGCTGAGTGAGGCGCTTGCTCCTTCATTAAATAGCATTAAAAATAGACTGCCCAGAACTCCCCAGTGGAGCATGCTCTAACAGGGCTAATGCCACAGTTCTCAAGGTAACCATACTCAGCTGGGATCTAAGGGGGAAAGTCACTGGGAGATCAGCAATTTGCAAATCTGATAGCACACACAAACCTGTCTAGGTTTGAAGTGAATATTATAAAACAGAAATAAGTGTGTAGTGAAATTAAGTCACTGAGAAGCTGAAAGTCAATTTCTGTAGCTGTAGAAGTTCCTTTAAATATGCCTCACTTGAACACAGTATTCTGTTAAATAGGCACTCATTGACAGCAAATTAGTTATATTATTAATCAAATAACATAAGTCATGTCCACAGAGGCTAAATTTAGACAAATATACATAGCAGTCTAGATGTCTTAAAAATTGCATTTAAGCCAAATTACGTTAATACAAATAATAGTATTGATAAGCAAGGATAGTTAACAGGTCAGCCTTTTTTTATCATTTGTGATAAGAAAGCATATTTCTTAGAGAACAAACCAAACTCACCCTCCAGAAATTTTGAAAATATTCTGTTAGTTGAAGTGATAAGAAGTAAAAGAATGTGATACGGCAGCAAGTAAAGGATCAAACATAAACACATACCTTAAAAATTCATAAAATCTGAAAAGAGTGCATACCTAATTTCCCACATGCGATCTACATTAGGAGTGCGGCAGAAGCAATTACTGCCCAGAGAGTAGATTACTCGGCTATTTGAACAAAACATAGCTAAAGCTCTTGGCTTCCAAATGACTTGCCTTTGCGAAAATGACATTAACTAAAATCCTGTTAAGACCTGCAAGCCCTGTGGTTACACAAATACAGAGGATCAAAGGAGTAGGAGCTCTAAAGCTGTGTGTAAGAGGTTTTCTAACTTTTACCAAATGAAAAATGATTTCCTGTCATCTCCATTTTTCTGTTTTCTTAAAACAATCATAGCAAATTTGATCTCCCAAGTAGATGAAGAGGAGGTGGGAGTCCCTTGGATTTACTCAGCATTTCAGTGAAATCTTGTACACATTCATTTCAACTTTAGGGAATGCCATTCTTGTCTGGAGAGGCTTTAGTGTCATACCCACAAACTAAAAAAATAAGAAATCAAAATGGGTATCTGAACTCTAAATACATTCTCATGAAAGTGATTTCCATCAGCCATGCATTATTACTAACTAAGCTTCCCATCCTTTAAACTTTCAATTCCCTTACTGCTTTTCCTTTAGTCTTGGACTCTGTCTTTAGCCTCTATCTTCAGAAGGTGATCAAGTACTGAACATGAGCAGCTTTCAGCAACCACATCTCCTTCAGCTTTATTTCTATGCATAAACATTGAGTCAATTTCTCTTCCTAAGGAACTTTCTGAACACCTGTGTAATTCAACTCACTTCTATCACCATATCTAGAACCTGAGACATCAGATAATTAAATTTGGAGTTTGCAATTAAACACAGATTTCAGACACGTAGAAATAAAATTGAACATATTTTCCCCCCTATGCCCCTTGGGAGTCAGGACCCCAAGTGCTGCAAGACCAACGGATTGATTGCAACTTTGTGTCTCTCGCACTGATCTCCTTCAAACCAGCATTTCAAACTTTCTACTATGAAATCTACATAAGCCACTATAGACTTCTCTGATGAAAAGAACTGACCTTTTCAATCCTCTTCCAGCTTTCCATTTCTGCTTCATTTGGGGGAGGGGGCGTCTATCCCCCCCTTTGATGAAACATGAAAATACAATACACACATAACAACAGCTTTCTACAAACACGAGAGAGAAATACAGACTAGAAACAATTGAAAAGAAAAGCACAGGCGTAGGGCAGAAAGGAGGAGAGAGAAAAAAATCACAGAAGGCGTGCAACACTCACGTCGGAAGACCTTGTTATTACCTTGACCGAACAGTGGATATCCCCCCAGCGTCTTGGTGCCCGGAGTGATTTGATTTAGTTTTTGGCTTTTATTACTATTACTGTTTCTCAATGATTGATTTGGCTGGATTGATTTGGTTTGGCTCTTTTTTTTGTTTTTGTTTTTGTTTTTTTGGTTGATTTATTTAACTGCTCGTGAAGGCTTTTTCTGTGTCGGCTGGTATGCTCGCGGCCGCGGAGGGTGGAGGCTTCAGCCGGCGACCCCGCGGTCCCCGCGGTCCCCGCTGCTCGATGCGCTCCGGACGCCCCGGGGGCGCGGCGCCCGCCCGGCCTGAGGCTGCGAGGAGCAGCGAGCCCCGCCTCTGCCTGCCGGTCGGTCCCTCGGCTTGTCTGCCTGGGGGTCTGGCGTTAGGTCTCACGGTGGCTGCTGGAGCCGGATGCCCGCTGTCCCGGCTCTGCTCTCGCTGCCAGTTCGCGCGTGAGTGGTCTGCGCGTCCCTCCGCGCGTCTCCGGGTCCCACTAGCAGCGCAGGGTCCCTCTTCCCGTCTTGAGTGCCCACATCTCTCTCCCTCCGCACTCGGCGCCCCGGGACGGAGGAGAGCGACTGCAGAGGAGGGGGCACGCGGGCGTCCCCGCTCTGTCGCTCTGTCTGTCCCTCTCGATCTCGTCTGTTCCTCTCGCTGTCTGTCCCTCTGTTCTTCTGTCCCTCTCTCTCTGTGTCGCTGTCTGTCCCTCTCTCCGTACCTTTCTCCGTCCCACTCTCTGCCTGCCCCTCTCTCTGGCTCCCTCCCTCTCTCCCTCGCTGCCTCTCCCTCTCTCGGCGTGCAGTCTCCTGTCTCCAGCAACTGCTCCCACCTGTCCGCCGCTCTGTCACTGCCGCTCCCACCCTCGTCCAGCCAGCCTCGACCGGTCCCGAGGGCCCGCTCCCCTGCTCCCGCCCCCGCGCCCGGCTCCTCCCCCCGGCCGCGGCGGGTCCCGCCCCGGCTGGAGGCACCGCGCTTGGGGAGTGCTGCCCGCGGCTCCCCGGGCTGCGGACCCCATGCCTCAGCCGCCGCGCCGGGGCGCCCGCGGGCGGAGCGGAGGGGCCTGTCCGGGTGCTGGCACCCTCCCCGGTGCGCCCCGCACGGGGCCCTCAACCCCGGCCGCCCCCCGCCGGCGCCGGGAGAGACAAAGCGCCCGGGCCGCGGAGGGGCACCGGCCCCTCAGGGGGCAGGGCTGCCCAGCCCTGCCGTGCCCCCGCCTCGCGCCCCGACCTCGAGCCCCCGCCTACCTCTCCGTGCCCCAGCCCTGCGCTCCAGCCCTCCGCCCCGGCCCTGTGCCCCCGCCTACCTCTCCGCGCCCCCCGGCGCCCGCTCTCCGGGCCAACTCCACAGATGTCCACAGTAAGGACAGCGCCCTCCCCCGGAGTCCCGGTCTCGGAGCCCGCAGATTCGCGGCTTGAACGGAGGTCCCCACGCGCTGCGCCCCGCACGCCCGGGGCGGGTGCCCAGCGCTGCCCGCCGGGCGGGTTCGGAGCCAGTGCGGGGCCGCAGAGACCCGGGCGGGGCGCGCGGGGCAGAGAGCAGGGCTGACAGCCCAAGACGTACAAGCGCTGCATTTCCCGTCTGCTCTGGAGATGTGCTATTTTTATTATCTGTAATTCTTTTTTTTTCTTTCATTGTCTCAGGGCACACACTACTAAAAGGAAAAAAAAAAAAGAAAGAAAGAAAAGAAAAAAAGACTCGTGGAGGAATGGGAATACATTTCCGGAACACCGCCCACCCTCCTGAGTGCAGACTTTCCCAGCGTTGGAGGTCACCAGCCAAGATAGATCACTTGGGCTTTCTGTCCCCCGCTGAGAGCAAGGCATTTGATTCTAGGCTTCTTTGCTAGGTTGTTATTAATGTGAAGCAAAATTATAGTTGTACACGCCTGCATGGAATTGCCAAAGCTCATTTTGACAGTATCCAGCAATTCAGCTTCTGAAATGTAGACGCTGAATAACTATGGATCTGGTGTAACGAACGCCCCCATCCCGCAATAAATGAAGAGGAGAAAATCAACTTTTACCAGCTGCAATTAGGAACCCCATGAATAAACAACAAATAAATAACTAGGTATAAATCATAGCACTACAATGTCCACATCCTTTTTGTTTCATTTATTGACATCCATTCCTAATGACAGAGGTTATAAACCGATTTATTAGGGGATGTGACTTCCACTTTTGATAGAAATGTAATTCCAACAGCTGTAGCCATGTTCACATGTGCTAAGATACTAATTATAAACATCAAACAGTTGATATATGTAGTTCCAGAAAATGCTATAAAAATGGGATAAGGTTGTGGTGGTTCTTGATGAATAAATCATTATTTCCCAAATATTAGAGATTGTCTCCCTTGGGGTTCAGCTCTTGTAATAAGAACGACTTTCCTGTATGAGGTTTTAGCAAATGAAGCCTAAAGAATTCAAGACCCTTATGTTGATCTATTTTTTGAGCATTTCCATTCAGTCTTCTTCAAAAATATTTTAATAGGCACTTCCTCTCTCCTTCCAACCATATGGAATTCAAGGGAAAATTAATAAAAAGCATCTCTAATTCTCCCTTTCCTTCATCCCAAGTCATGTTCGAAAAAACTACTTGTCTTTGGGGGAAATTGTCATACCAAGGTGTGCTGTGTCATAAAATCCACACAACTGGGACTGCATGGGAAGAGGGTGAATGTACTTGATTTTCCTTTTGGACAAGACTGTATCTAAGTATCTTCTGCATGTATGGATGGGTAGTCAGTCTATGGACAGGAAACCTTAACAGCTTGCCCTTAACATAGTCCTCCTAGAAAGAATTAGAATTCACTTTGAGAGTTCACTAAGAAAAAAAAAAGGAACTCCATCCTATAAACTGGATTAGAAATTAAAGTCATGAGTTGGGGAGAAGGACCCAATTCACACTCAGTACAAACGCCAGCAATTAGGAAAAAGAACAAAACAGAATGTTTCAATATCTTGAGTATATAAAGAAACTGAATGACAAAATTTATTGTAATTTCTCACAGATTTTGACCTTTATGTAGAAAAGAAAGCACCCCAAAGACAAATAACATCAGTTTACTTCAACTACATTTTTCTACCTTTTCTTATAATATTTTGTCAACAAATTAGGAGCTGGAGAAAGCTCAAGTTTATTTGAGCCCATGTAGATAATTAGCATTCAGCTATACAGTTTTAAATTTTGTGTCCCAATGTGAGACTAGAATATACTTCTGGGAATATTAGGCAGGCAGTGAGCAATAAGCATCTTCCAGGCATTCGGGAAATGTTTGTATTTCCTTAAACAACTAGAAAGTCACCATTCCTTTAAGGTCCTTGGCCATCAAATATTAACTACCACCAAACCCACTAAAACCGTCGTTTACCTTATCAGACCTCTGCATAACAGATTCATGTGGCCAGTTCAGAGACGTTTGGGCCCTGAAAACATCCTTTCATGGATGGAGAGTGATTGCAGCAGGGGAAAAGGAAGGTGCCTCTTACTCTCTTGGTCTGGATGCTTTTGAGTTTATTTAGTATTATGTTTGAAATGCAAGAGCATATATGTAACCAGGTAAACCCAGCTTGGGGAGTTGAGCTCACCTACACACTGGCAAACAGCTAAGATTGTCGACAAGCTCCTTTAAACACATACTCCCCTAAGACACTAAATTAGTGCCCTTTAATGAAGCTTCCAAATTGGATTTTCAAAATAAGGCAAATTGCTGAAATAGCCTGGCTACCTTTATAAGCACCTTTTCAGCTGAAGCGAGAAGTAGAATTTCCATGCTGTTGAACTTCCATCATTCCTCAACAATTAGGCTGTGAGGAACTCCCCTTCAGGGCATTCTCCCCCACCACCATAAAAGCCCACAGATCCCCCAGAGAGACTTCTCATTTGCCCTGTTTCCAACAAAACAGTCTAGGGTCTATTAAATACCAGTCTTGGGTTTAAAGCCATACAAAATACGCATGGTACAGAAAGGCAGGGGAATGATAGGGGAAAAAAACATTAGCATTTCAACCAGAAAAGTTTAGTTCCCCATTCTTATTTTGTGCTAAGCCAAAATAACTCTAAAACACATTTCAGTACATCAACAAAGAATGTTACATCACGTATGCATCTGAGCATGAAGAAATGTCACGATCAAAAACAAAGAGGACTTGGGAGACTAGAAACCAAATGTTCTGATGGCACCGTTCCCTGGACCAGCAGCCATGTTTCCTCTGTAGTCTGCTGGGCGCAGGATGAGAAAATTATCTCCCTGAACCCTTGGTATTCTCCCGGGCAGACCATAAGTGAATGCTGGTGTGTGCGCGCGCGTGCGCGCGCGCACACACACACACACACACACACACACACACACACACACACACACACAATGATGCTCTGCTGAGAATGTAAACCAAGAGATTTCCTCAAAAATAAATGTGTGTAGTATTTTCAGGGAGATGCATCTAAATCAGAGGAGAGACAATAAGAAGGAGGAGGGAACAACTAAAGAGAGGGTTTGGGAAACCTGTCAAAGGATCTGAGCATCAAAAACCAAGAAAGGCTATTGACTCAGTTTCATGTTTCTTTTCAGCACCTCTTGGGATAGAAGTGCCAGCTTGCAGACATACCCTGAGTACTTGGGAGTTTTGTCCCTCTAGCCCTCAGAGCACTATGTGTCTTCCTTCTCTGTACTGGCTGCTCTGAGGGCCCCATGGCTTTGGCATGGCTGAGGTGTGTGTGGCAGGCAGCAGCCTGCAGGTGCAGGAACTTGTCCTGACTGCAGAGCAGGTGTGCGTGGGTGAGGCCTCTCTACCTGGCCTGCGTTTGCACCTTGTTAGTTGGGGCTGATGCTCCTCCAGGATTGTTCCAGTGTGACGTGCTCTCAGCTTCCTATGGCACCCATATAAAATGTTGGTGATTTTTAAAGCTGAACCTAGACTTGGAAGCAGAAAGGCCAGACTTTCTAAGCAAAAGCATTAGGAGCCTACATAAAGAGAACAGAAGAAATGTTACCCACTAAAGTGCAAGCACCGATACAGAGCACAACCCAGTATTTGCCAAAGCCCTGTGTGTGATCCTGCCTCTGCTTCTACATTCCTCTTCCGGAGACACAACATTTTCCCCCTAATGGACACAGTTCCCTTTTTCACACAAAGGAAAACAAGGGTTACCAACTTATTCAGACCTTGGAATAATGTATTTGGCTTCTTGACAGTAAATAATATTAAAAGGTCGATGAATTAGCCACTAGAATAAAATAGCTGTAATCCATCTCTAATGAAATAGAGGGCATTTGCATTTTTAAACTGTTCTTCATATGAATGGGGTGTGTGTGTGTGGATATGTGTGGTTAAAAAGTAAAACATATCCACAGTGTTAATATTTCAAAAGGGTACTAAGGTCTTACTGGAAACTCAGGTGTAGGTCAATGTCCAGCATCTGAAGAACAATATGCAGATTTGTAATTCTGGATGAATGTACAGCTTGCTCTCCAAAGCTACTCTTTAAAGAAAATTTCTTTTTTGTCTTTCGAAAATAAATGTACATTTGCAAAATCTATAAGGATTTATTGTAGAAAAAGAGGGGAATCAAAATTAAAAAGAAACAGCATACAAATATCCCCAAATGCCACTTCCCAAATGGCTGTCATTCTTGTGCTCAGCCAATCTCTGCATACATATCCATAAATATATAGCTGTATTTTGCATAAAGAGATTGAAAAATTCATAT